GAAACGTGTCGCTCCCTCGTAACCCAGGACCAAGCGCCGCCAAGAACACGAGTCCCCCTGGCGACACCAGCGACAATCAAACTGCGGCCGCCACGCGGCGTGAGCGGCCGACCAGGGCAACACAGTCAAACCCGTATAAGGCAATATTAGAGTCGGGGAATCAAAGCGATCAATCAAGACAAACCCATTCCCCCTTATATTACACGCCCAAGGCGGGTCTCGCCAACACACTTGCTCCGTCCGTCTCAGCGCGCCCCGTACGTCCGCATCGCAGTATACGCTGTCGTCATCTGCAATGGGGAAGGTCGGTAACGAGATGAGACGATCGGAGGTGAGCGATGAACACGGGCAAGATCCCGCGCTCCCGGTCATCCGAACCAACATTGACTCCATACAACACTCGACGCAACTCTTCTCTCTCAAAGTTGGTGCGTCGGGAGAAGATGACGAAATCTAAGTTCTCTTCCCCTTGCGGGGGTGTCGACCGCGCGCGCGGACGCAGGCGGTTGACGTCACCGGTGCAGGGACGAGAAGTTCAAAAGCGATGACTATCAGTTCAAAAGAAAGGCGATAGAGAGAGAGTGAGTTACACCGAGACTGCGCATGCGCGCAGGAAAGGCCGCGGAGGGGAGGGGAACAACAGGATCAACACACTCATACTCCTAAACAGACGGTCCTCCGGTTAAGTTCCCCCGTCCCCGCCCAGATAAGTACATACACACACACATGCATGCAATCAACAACCCTGGACAGGACATCCAATCATGCATAGACCTTCGACATCACTCGTCCGCCCAACCAGCTCCCATCACTCGGGGCTTCACACACACGTCATGCATAGGCAAAGCAGCAATGGAGATAAAAGCGAGTCCTTCTTGTACACAAAAATTCTCAATTAACGGCCGCCCCCAGGTGCAACCTTCAAAACCTTCCAAGACCATCGACCACCATAGCCACAACGCCCTGCCGCGGCCGGTGTTCAATCCCCACCACTGCTCAGTCCCTCCGACTGCTTCGCCCCGAGACTACCTCGGGTCCACCCCACGTCGTCACTCCGCCCGTCCTTGGGCTCGTCGAGCCTGTTCGGCGCCGCGGACCTTCGCGGAGCATTGCAGCCAAGATCAAAGAGAGGGAACGGAGAGGGTTGCGTGAATTTATAGTGCAGGAGGCAGCGGGTTGCCAGCGCTAGGTGCGGGCAGCGCAGGGGGTAGATGGGCAGGACAGGAGAAAGGTGGGGAGTTAGAGGGTTCGACCCGCGGGATTGCATGGTCCTACGTGATTGGGGTGTTCGTTCAAGTGGTGCGCGGTTTCCCGCTCTCCACATTGATCCGAGCATCCCAACTACGCGGCCAATCACTTCGCGGAGAAGATGGGGTAAGGATCGAGCTGGGCGGAGGGGAAGATGAAGAGTCCTGCATGGGGGAAACGCGCACAGCAAGAACGGAAGATGGCGCGGGGACACAAAGCAAGAAACGGGGGTGCGAGACGCGCGAAGAATTCGGAGCTTAGGCGCGCGTGCGCAAAAATTCAAAAAGTCCCCACCGAAACCGTTTCTTGGTTTTCATACCGCGGCCGCTATTCGCCCGCTCGGGGGTTATTAACCAAAAAAATGAAAAAGCCGTTTCAAAAAGAAAATAAAAGCAGAAAGAAAGAAAAACCCCTCTTTGTCCGTGTCCGTACTTCAGGGCTTCCGCGGGATTTTTCCTCAGGGATACGGCAAGCCGCGCGGTACGGGTCTGAGCTTATCACAAGCTGCTAAGGATTCTGGCATCAAGGGACATAAAGTCAGGGGCACGGATGCGCCTGAGCCCACCACCGCTCGGCCCATCGTTCACAAGGTGGGGAAATGGCCAATCTAGTCATGCATAACACAGGCGGCCCGTTCTCAGGCTGCTAAGGCACGGGCCCACATCGCCCGGATCGAACACAGCTCACAGATTCTGCGTAGACTAAAACAGGACACTGGGCCAGTTTCCCAGCAGATGCTGCTCCTCACCATTACATGAAGCCGCGCCCAGTCAGCTTGTTGTGTCTGTTCCTACCACCACCTCAAGCTGTTTCAGGGGCTGAAGAACGGCTCAAGATGATCACATGCAGTCAAATCCCATCGGGAGAATGGTGCCAGAAACACAAGGGGGGCTGCGGACACCTGGGACTAGTCTCGGGAAGATCACCAGACAACTTCTAGGTGGGGGCTGGGTCAGATGTTAAGTCGGAGGCCCACAAGGGGAATGGGACTATTTGCAGCTCCAAGGGATACTGGGTGCTCCATAGTAGAATAGAACAATGACTATAGCCTCAACATTTGACCTGCATTGTTGTATTAAAGTGACGCTGGACCCGGCTTCCAGCAGGTGTCGCTCCCCATCAATAGATGGAGTAACCCAACAGCCAAATTCCGGTGGTTCTCTTACCACTGCCGGGATAGTGGCCTTGCAAAAGGGCTTCTGTTATTTTTTTTTAAAAAGAAAAAAAAAAAAAAAAAAAAAAAAAAAAAAAAAAAAAGAAAAGAAAAGAGTGCAACTAGGCCTCCCACTCGCCACAATTTTCTCTCTTTTCACACGCCGCTAGTCCCCCAGGGATTGTGGCGTAGGCCCTAACAGGCAGAAATGCCTGTTAGGACAGGGCAAAGTCCAAATCACACATCCCAGAGGGGACAGAACCTGGAACAGACAAAAATAGTCTGAAAGCTAATAGAAATGTTGGAATATTAAATAAACACAGGGGAGAAAAAAAAAAACACCCAATACAACCTACCTGGGGTCTCTGGGAGAAATATGTCTGCGGCCCTAGGACTGCCTGAAAATCTGAGGCGTAATACCTTTCTCGGCCTTTTGGCTAAGATCAACTGTAGTATCTGTTATTCTGATCAGTTTAATATCTGATCCATGGTCCATGGGGCCACAAAAAAAAAAGAAAGTGAGGCGTGCGGTTCAGGGCCCGTGCTGGTCCGTTATTTACCTCCTCTTTAGGGGCCTGTGTAATCCCTGCATGCCACAGCTGTGCTGTGGCCGAAGAATGCCACTGACATTAGCACCATATTGCAGCGTTAGAAGTGGGCAGAATTCGTTGTGAAAGGATGCCACGCATCTCAGAGTCCCAGTCCCAGTTCCATGTCCGTGTTCCGTGTACCGTAACCCCAACCGGTAGGTGCTTAGGTCAAGGGTATACAGTAAGTCAGTAGGCTGAAACTGGTAGGCTCCATAGTTTAGGCCTGTCAGTCCTTCGGTCTGTTGCAGCTCAGTCCCTGGAAAGTCGGTGAACAATCCAGAAGCATTGGAGCCCGACCGTGGCCGCAAGGTCAGATATAGGCATTCGTGAAGTCCAATTTTGTGGGCTGCAGAGAGTACATGGGCATCCAAAAGTCAACACAATTTTGCATTTGTGTCTGTCGCCGAAACGCTACTGCAGACTTGTGCGAGCAAGCCACTTGGGAACCTGAAGTAGATAGCAGTCAACAGCGCCCAGTGCCATAGCAAGGAGGGAGGGAGAGCGG